AAAATATCTTCAACAGGCTTGCAGTTCCAAGTTACCGATGTTATATACCGTTGTATATAGGGAAATTGATATATTGGTGTGTTTGTAGAATCTAGTCACTTTTACTGGCCTCTTAAATATATTTTGATAGAGAACTTGTGACGTTTCCAAAATAGAAGAAACGCGACTGTCGTAATCTTTCGATTCGTAGGTTTAGAGATTGAGTGGTTATTGATATATATAGGTACTATGAAGAAAGGAAATTACTTTTTTTAATAATATGAGCGCTAATCATTTATCACTCTATGCCCTGCTGTCAGAAATGGTGAAAAGTAGACACAATAGATTTATACAAATTTTGTGAGAAGGCGAGAAGGATGAGAAACAGGTGTAAATAGTTTTCCTTTTTTTGGGCTCATGTTAATACTGAATTGTATATAGTACTTGATTTATGTTCAATTAAAACCATTGCTATACTGGGAGAATCCTGTATGGGGCTTGATCATAATAAAGGTCTGTGTGCGTACTGTAATATATTAATATTTCAAATATATATAATTAATTAATTAATATACACAGGTTAATGTACTGTACATAGAATAGTTAATCATCCTACACATAACATTCATGGATTTATATATTTCGGTGTAGATAAGCGCACCTCAATAAATGGAATTTATATAGTCAAGATATTGTAGTTACTATAAATAGTTGCAATAGAGAGAGAGAGAGATTTTCTCTATAGCGTGGGAGGGAGGTAAGTGATTTAGTCGCCACACCACCGAGGAAGATATTTCCCCGTCGGCCAAGTTCCTCCCACTATACATATGTACTACTCGTGTTTTTTATTATTTCAATTGCTATCTAGCGATGATATTTATAACTATTGTTTTTAGGCAATATGTTTCTTATGATATTCATTAGCAAATATTTTCTTTACAGACCTAACTGCAATGATAAAAAAAAATACTAAATTAGATGGCCTGGCTCATCAGTGGTGAACCCTCTCAGCAGTTTCGCCAAATTACTCCAGAAAAGTCATCTTATTAGGGAGTTCTTTATATAGCCATATATAGAGAGAGCTTTATATTAGGAGGAATGTTTTTATAGGTTTAGAAAAATGTTTTTTAATCGTTTTTCTTTATAACGAGTTTTTTGGTTATAGAAAGTAGATCAAACATCGTTTTTCATTGTAACCTTCTACAATAATGAGTTAGTTCTTCATTAGTGTTTTTTTCCCCCGTAGTAGGGATCGTAATACGTACTTTGGTTCTATATATTTTTGGGTATAAAGAGCTTTTTTTTTTTCGTTATAAAGTTTTCCCCACTACTTTTGAAATGTTCGAATAGCATTCAAACATCCGTCCCGAGGATTGTATGCGTGCGAGGTGAGCTTACTTGCGGCTATCTTCCCAACCCACCCTGGCTGAAACAGCTTGGATGCTTGGGCATCTAGTAAATGTTTAGATTCATTTTAACATTTTTCGGCTTGTATCTCCAAAGAGGTTTTATATAGAAATATAAAAATTTCGGATTTCTCTTTTTTTTTTTTTTGTCATTTAACGTAATAAACAAAGCTTTGAAAACCGAGTCGTGTATCCCCTAGCAGACATGCTCTTTTATGTACGAAGTCCACCATAGACTAGCAACAACTCAGAGCTGGTTAGTAACAAATGATAATGCTTTCGGTAGACGTCTTGTTGTTTACCGGAAGCCAGCAACGTCGTAGATTACACACTCACGTCATCGTTTCATAATGTTTCGTTGTTTTCCCGCATGAATGTTTTAAGTAAAGTACGGGCTTGCGTTGGCTCGCTAGCCTACGTAACCTAAGTCAACCCAACCTAACCTAGTCAAACATACAGATTTAGGTCAGCGACCTGAACAATAAGGAGGCTACTCAAGGTATATTGTACCCATAAGGGCAATTTTACATCCTTTAGGTTGATGGTTTGTCAGTCCAAATAAAGTTTGACAAGAACTGTCATCTTTGATTGGAAGTTTGCCTTCTCTTCTATTTGAGCTGTCAAATACGTTGTCACGGGGCTTCTAGCTCTCTTGAGACTTGGGTCACTTGTCATAATTGGCCTTTTTACAAGCGCCGTTGGTTTGTAAACGTGGCGACTTTTTTAGTGGATTGTGTTGTGGGGGTTTCTTTGTCCGTGGGCGGAACTCCAGATGGTCGACAACAAGGCGTGACGCTAGCACGTCTGTCTAACTTAGGTTAGTTACTTCCAGCGTTCATTTGAAGGTCTTCTTACACGTCTAACTGTTGGTGAAATTACTCGTGAGCGGACGTCGTACTGTGGGGTTGTCGGGTGGTACAAGTCTACCCCGCATCGAAACTAGCATTGAGTACTTTTACCCCCCTTTTAAAAAACGTCTAGAAAGCACGATATTTAAGTGGCCCCACCCCACCATTGAATGTAAATAACCAAACGGGCTCGAGTACCGTATTAATGCAAAGTTGTGTGAACTGTTTTCTACATATGTAAAAAATGTGGTGTACTTTAAAAGGGGGGCAGTCACGAATCATTGTTTGGAAGACATGTACTCGGGGAGATCCTCAACTGACCAAACGGAAGGGATACAGCTTGAAGAAGAAGAAGTAAACTAAGGGAGACAATATAATAGAACGGTCTTTAAATAGAAGACATGGAGAGAATTTCACGGCGGATGGCAGTATTGGAGGTGGCTGTATGATGAAAGCTCGCTAATCTGGCCAGATATAATGGTCTTTAATGAGGTCATTATCATAATTTAAAACTTAATCATACAACTTTAAATATATATTATATATATGTCATAATATATGCTCTTCCAGGAATAATAAAGAAAACCTACAGTCAACCCAGAGAGAGACAGCAGCTAAAGTCCGGTCATTTGAGACACCAGCGACATTCCAGAGGGCGACCACAGGGGCGTTATTTGGAACCTCAGGACTAATTAAGACAGTTGGTGATGTGGTGTTCGAAACGAACGGTCGGCCGCTCAGCGGCGGCCGGGCCCAGCTCTCTCCATCTCTCTCTGGTTGTCTAGGATTTCTCTACCAAATTGTGGTGTGATTATTTCTCTTTCCCCACATTATTATTATATTGCCACATATACATAAATAAATTTTTAAAAACTTGCTCATTTTGCGGGATTCGATCCTAGGTCTTGGTTGTATTGAATCCACAGTGTAAACCATTACACCACCAGTCTCTTGTAAACGAAGAAAATGTGGAGGAAGGATTTTAATATTCACTAGTCGGATTTGAGTCGTTGTTGAAGACGTTCGTTTTAACGAAATATGGTTTGGAACTTTTTAAAAATGTGTCGCTTTCGTGGCGTGGTCACGCAAGCAAACATTTCTCACAGCATTACTGTTACCAATATGATCTAATTTCGAATTGGTTCTTTTTTTTTTTTGGTAAATAGAACGATCTAAGGAATATATTGAAGTGGATTAGAGAAGCAACACCCCCAATTAGACGAGTCATTAAAGAAGGCAAATATTTAATTTAGGTAAATATCTTTTTGTGTGTCTATTTTACATATAATCTCCTGATTTGTTGTTCCTGATCTCCATTAGAAAATATTCTATCTAAATTCTGTGTGTGCACACATCTTGTCTCCTTCTAAAAAAAAAAAGAATAAGACAATGTGATGGTTATTAAAAGCACAGAGTTGGAGTCAACGGTCAAGTTATATATTTTTTTTTTCACTGAATTCCTGCCAAATACTGTAATGTTATGTAGATACGACGACGACGACATAAGGTGTAGGAAGGACATATGCTAATATACCCAATGTCAACAAGGGGAGAGGGTGGGTGGATGAGTCAGTTGGGGTCTAACACGACCAGATGTTGAGATAACTCTATCTATCACTTTGGTAATATGAGATAATAATACTTCCTGTACACACTTTCTTTCTCACCACATATTACAAATAAACCAATGATAAGATGATTTGTGACTTTCACTCATCTTTATAATCTAAAGAATATTAATAGATTTATTCACAGGGTAACAAAAAAGAACAATTCTAAATACGTAAATTATATGTGGTTTTTTCTTAGTAATACCCACGTTTTTATCATCTTCAAATTCTTCTTTCTTATTTCCACTCAATCATATTAGTGTATCATCAAGTCTATAGAGCTTGAGACCTTTGATGGTGTCTGCTGGGGATGAGTAGAGCTCATCAATGGATGAGCCAATGTAGTCAATGATGTTGTTTGGGGTTTGCAGGTTGTGAATTGCACTTGGTAATAATTTGAGACTGCTGATTATTGAAACTACTGTTAATTGGGACTTACTCATAAATGGTACTAATATTTTCATTTTGAATGGGTCTCTCAATTATTAAAGGACATTGTTATCCAATGGCACTTGTCCAAACTTATGTATGTAATCAAATGATGATGTACAATGTTTATATTTATCCTCCTAGCTGAAGTTTTCTCTCTCCTTTCAAATACATTTTCTTTAGAAAAAATTGCTAAAAGTTCCAACAACAAGAGCTCTCATTGTGTAAGACCAACTTGGGTTTAATTCTGGCATCAGAATGGATGCAGGGTGCCGTCAACAGATGTTGGCCTCCTTTTCTCCATCTTTTATGGATACGCAACATTTAAAAATGCATCCATTGCATCTACCCAACAGCTGTAGTGTCTCAACTGAATATGTGTGTGTGCGAAATCTATCTTTTTTTGAATATTAAATGAGGTAATCTACTCACACTAGTATTCCATATTCTCTTGGTCAAATATTTTTATTCAGTGATAAAATTTATTATGCTCTCAATTAATACAATATGGAAATGAAAACATCAAAGCATTCTAGACATAAAACAAACATTCATGCTTTAATTTCATTTCCTATTTACATATAGATAGTGCATTGTTGCCATATAATTAAATCATTGATAACATTATAGGTAAAAATAACTGTTTTTCTGTCCAAATTTTGCCAAGAAATATATCATTATAAAACAACACTTAAGTTCATCACCGCATTTACGAACGGAAAAATATGTCCAGGGTAGCCTAGTGGACATGGCATCTGCCCGGTAAGCAGAACGTTGTGGGTTCGATTCCCGCCCCTGGACACTTTTATTTTTCCGTTCGCCATTACTCTTCATATTTTCACCCTTTCATACTTCATCTAAAAAAAGTTAGAAATAGTAAATAGTTCTCTTTGAAATAAATATTGATTTTTCACAGAAAAGAAACTTATGCGGTGAAACTTTAAGTGTTGTTTTATAATCATACGCCGCAGTCCTTTATAATGTAAAATATATCATTGTTGGCCAGACAATATCTTTTTCATAAGATTGATGATCCTACATGGAATGGCTTCAAACAGATAGGTACACACTGTACTCTATCTACACTCATGGACAAAACTTAAGGAAGTGGAAAGTCTTTGATGTCGCTAGTCGTCTGTTTTTTGAAGGAGACAAGGCAATTTCGTTTACACTTGGTTATCTCCTGTGTCTTCAATAAAGGTCATTGTGTATCAAATATTTTTCAGAGTTATTGTCTGAAATGCTAGACTGTACATATGATGATGATGATGTGGTTGTTGTCAAAGAGAAGCTCTCAAACCACATTTTCCCACTGTGGTTTTGTAAGACCTGGTGCTGCTATTGTGCTACATGTGGTTGTTATTCCAGGGCCAGTGAGCTGTTTGTGGCCAACCCCGGAGACAATGAGAAGATGCTGGTCAGACTTAACATCTCCATGCCCAGACTTCAATGTGGAGGTAAGAAGGGCTTGGTGTTGTGGACATGTTATTCATATGTGATAATTCTACCATAGTCTTATATCTACCCTTTCTTATATGGCAAATTTTAGATAAGCTGCTCTCTCTCCAGCTTTCTTCAATATTTCTATGTCAACTATGTTCTCAAGTCTACGGTCAAAGAATGGGAAAATACACTCATGGGGAGACAAAACTTAAGAAAGTGGAAAGTCTTTGATGTTGCCAGTCGTCTATTTTATTTTGAAGGAGCCAGAGGCAATTTTGTTCACACTTGGTTATTAACACAAAGCAATAATGCGCCATCCACACATATAAAATGAAAGGATTTAAAAGCACGAATGTTTCCCTCATACACCTCATACACTTGGTTATCTCGTGTGTCTTCAATAAAGGTCACTGTGTATCTTTCAGAGTTATTGTCAAAATCCCGATATACATGCTAAAAGGTACAACTTCCTTAGGTATTGTCTTTGAGTGTATTTATGGTTACAGAGATGGTGTAGTACATGGTGATGTTATATAGGTCATTCAGTTACCATGGAATGTTTGCAGCGATGGGCCTAGACATCCAGGATGACATGGGCCGCCACGAGGTCGGCTACGTGGAGAACACAGAGAAACATCCTATCAACGAAGGCAAGGGATGTCGCTTTGAGGGTCGGTTCTATGTGAACAAGGTAGGTATTTCTTCTCTCTCTCTAACTCTATTGTGTGTGTGTCTTTGATGCCATTGATGATTTGCTGTTCTATATATATTGAAGGAACATTTATTTTTATATTAATAAAAAAAATCCTCAATATACTTTGGATTCTGCTTGTTGAGAATCGACAGGTATACCCACCATGAGAAAATTGTGAGTTTTTTAGTGCTATCCACAGTAGAACCTCCATGAGAGGACATTCTTGCTAGAAGCCACCTCTCTACAAAGGATAGTTTTCATCTCCACTATATATTTGAATTTGGTCTTATTACCTTGTGTTTCCTAAATCTATAATCCAAATTGTACCTATCAGGTATGTAGAGAGTTTAAATAACACAGTATAATGTAATTAAATAAATAATGCTTCCAGGAGGGCTAAGTTTATTGTGCTATGTATTATAATGTCTTATTCAATGTTTAACTACATTTTAACCATTTCCCAACCAAATTTCAACTTTTACTTCAAAAGACTAGAGTTCAACAGATCTTGTAGGAGATAGTGGATGATGTAGCTATGTCTGGCAGATAACCCACCGAGATACAGGGGGATTCAATGAAAGGACTCTGTGGGAGAAAATAAGATAAACTACATTTGGTGGCCTTCACCTGATAGGCCGGCTGGCCACAATAGAACCTGGATAAGTAGGAGGAAATCCATTTAAACTACGTAGCTCTCACAGCATATTTATTCTGACTGTGTTTCATGTGTTGTTTCTTAACCCCTTTCTCATGGAATGGGGTGCAGCTTTCGTTGGTGAAGGTCTGAATTTGCTTGTAATTTGACCGAATCATGTAAACATGGAAGCAGATGTCTTTGCTGCCGACTTTAATTTGAGTACAGACTCGGCCCTCCCTGGAGAGGAACCCTTGCTGAGGTCTACCAATTGGGTCAGTTTAACTCAGGATTTTTAAAGAGGTCTTTCTGCTTGTTTCACAGCTGGCTTTCATATCTGAAGGTCGTTGCCCTATCCACCACCTGGGGACACACCCTGTAGCAGTCAGCTCTGCCGAGGGGTTTCATGGGTAGTTAACATTTATAGTTCATGGGTATACACATTGATGTTTTTATATTTAAACTACTTATGGTAACAAGGCCAAATAATTAAACTGTTACAGAAGCACAGTTTGAGGTGTGTTGAATAAAAGAGATGATAGTTATTTAATCTACAGTAAAACCCCTCTATAACAAACCCCAATGGGACTGAACCTGTGACTCGCTATAGCCATGGTTCATTAGAAAGCTATAGTTTACTGTATTATAAAATAAAAATGGGGATTTTTATTTCAGGGGAAGATTCAATTCATCCCAGGTTCATTTTAGCAGAGTTTTGCTGTATTTATATTGATATTTAATGGATGATCATTTAGGGAAGAAAATTTATTAGTAAGAAAAATCATCTACACTCATGGACAAAACTTAAGTAGGTTGTAGCTTTTAGCATGTACAGTATAACCTCGTTAATTCGACACACCCCAATTCGACACTCGGCGATAATTCGACCATGTTCCGATGTCCCGACCTCCGGCCTATCAAATAACAAACCGTAATTTGACAGTATCGATAATACGACAGTTCCGATAGTTCGACCATTTTAAAATTCGAATTTCGACAGTTTTACATGCAACTTTACCGCTAAACGGTATTACGGCGGCGACGATCGTCATCGGCGGGCGCCGATACGATCGCGCCTGCGCACTTTTGGTTTCTGGTTAGTTTAAGTTTCACTTTGCAGTGCCGTTGCGCAATTTCGCGGATGTTATTGTTGTTTTTTTTACGCGGGAATTTCGGCATCATGCGCTAACTAATAATAATTTTTATTATTTTATTTTTAACATTGAAATATTTTAGCTATTTTTAAATTTATAAATAATTTCTTTTTAAATAAATAAATCTTTATAAAATGTAACCACAATGATTATGATAACATTTTATTTCAATATTCCATTTCTGTGTTATTATAAAAGATTTAAACACAAAATCAATAACACCTGCAGCAGCAGTGGATGACTTTAATACAATAAAATTTATTTATTAAAAGACATTTCAGAAGATGAAAGACATGCATGTTTTTTTCAAAATGACCATCTGGAATAAATACTGAATAGGATTTCAGTGCAAAAACAGACATCTATAAAGGAATTTTTTAAAAGATCTCTTCATGATAATTTTTAAATACTATTTTAAAATTTTCTTTTTATATTTACCGTATTTATTTCCTTTCAACTGCTATATTTTTCAATTAGAATAAAATATTATTTAATATATTATATTTAATATTTTAATGTCTGTAGAGTTAATATTTGATTATATTACTGAAAAGAAACACATTGCCAGTAAATTTATTTGTTACAATTATTTATGTTTCTAAAATATGTATTAATGCCATTTTGTCCCTGATACTAAAAGTTAATCATGAAAATAAAATAAAAACACACAATGGTTTCAATTAATATCATTAATTTATATTACAAGGCTATTTTAAAAAAATATTATTTTAGCGAGTCAGATGATTACCTAATCATCTCACCTTAATTCAACACTTCCTTTAATTCAACCGAAAGCTCTGTTCCCTTGGGGTGTTGAATTAAAGAGGTTCGACTGTATATCGGGATTCAGACAATAACTCTGAAAGATATTACAGTAACCTTTATTGAAGACTTACGAGTGTGAACAAATTTACCTCTATCTCCTTTAAAAAAAATAGATGATGGGCAACATAAAGACTTTCCACTTCCTTAAGTTTTGTCCATGTGAATATTTTAATATAATAATAGTACATATTTATTTACCGCACACAAAGACCACTAATGGTTACAAGAGTGATATCGGGTCAAAAATAATTTGTTCATAATATTGATTGTCCTTGAATTCAATTCAAACAATGTATTTTTTTGATGCATCTTAATGAGGAGATCCCTCTCACTGACAAAGCTGGTGTTGTGGTGTGTTATTTGATCTGAATCTGTCCAATCTATGGAAAGAATATCAACAAAATGCCTCTGTGTGTGTATTTAGACAAATGGCACTCCAATGACTATATACACACTACCTCCCTGTAGAGAACAACACCTAGACACAGAGCCAAAGTGTCCTTTATGGAGAGGTGTCTTTTCTTACCAGAGAGTTACTAATAGTAAAAATTGTAATTTTGGCGATGAAAACAGTATTTGTAGAGAGGTGTCTTCTAGCAGGAGTGTCCTCTCATGGAGGTTGTTCTGCTGTGAGTGTGTTGGAATGTGTCTTCTAACCCAGGTTCAGGTTCCAGGAAACTTCCATGTGTCCACCCACTCGGCATCCCAGCAGCCGGAATCCATAGACATGAGCCACTTCATCCACAGCCTCACCTTCGGGGAGAACCTGGTACGTAGGATGTTGCCTACATCTGATGTACTGTGCACCTTGGTGAAATAACAACCATGATTGGGTGACTCTTTTAGACTCTTGGTCTTGTACCTTGTTATAACTGTGAAACTTAATAATTCTAAGGTCCTGAGTTCCAATTGTTTCAACTGTGGTGTTACCTTAAGTTTCTAATCTACAATCAGGAAATTTGTACCCTCTAATTTACACTCATGGATAAAAATAAGGAAGTGGAAAGTTTTTGATGTTGCCAGTCATCTATTTTTTTTTTTGAAGGAAACA